GAAGGTTAGTACCTCCGAGCGGAAGTTGCCGCGGTCGCCAAACGTGACGGGCAGGTCAATCTGCCCGAGTGGGTATGCCTATGTCCCCGGGATCACGCCGTGGAAGGGAGAGCTCACTGGGCGGAGCTCCGACCGGGGGATACGCATGGCGTCGAGGGTGTCGACATAGAGAATGTTGAGGCCGCTGCCTCTGTCCATCAGCACCTTGGTGAGGCGCTTCTTGTGGATGATGGGGTCGATGATGAGCGGGTAGCGACCCAGTCGGGTGACGTGGGAAGAATGGTCTCTCTGATCAAAAGTGATCGGGGAGTCCGACCAGCTAAGGAAAGAGGGGATGGCTGACTCAGCGGCGCATGCCTCTCTGTATCGTACCTTGTGTTGGCTTTGGAGTGGATGGCGTCGGATCCCCCAAAGATCATGAGGCACTCCTCGGGGTAGGGGAAGCCGTCTTCATCCTTGCCTGTCGCGCCTCCTTTTCTAGGTCGCCTCCTCCTTACCTTTCCCTTCCTTTGGCTTGGCGGCTTGCCGCAGGAAGCACTTGAGGAGCTCACAGTCCTTGTAGAGGTGTTTGATGGGATAGTCGTGGTTGGTGCATAGACTCTCCATGAGCTTGTCGAAGTGGTCGGGCTAGCCCTGCTAGGACTGCTTGCCCACGTGGTCGGACACGGTGACCAAAGCTGGGTTGGCCAATCGGCGCCGATCCTTCTTGTTCTTTTGTGTGGAGGGGCACTCGCCTTGGTCCTCACACTTGGCCTTGCCCCTATCTCGACTGTTGCTGAAGACTGCCCGACCGCCTCCTCACCGGAGGTGTGGTTCGTGACGATGTCGAGCAGGTCGCGGATGGTACGGGGCTTCACACCTAGAGATGTTGTCCTAGAGAGGAACGCGCTGACGACGTCCGCTTATGGATCAGGGACTTACAGGTTGTCCTAGAGAGGAACGCGCTGACGACATCCGTGTTAACATCAGGAAGGGAGTTGCACTGCTTTGAGAACCTATAGATGTAATCCCATAGGGACTCATTGGGCTCCTGCTGGTAGCTCTCGAGGTCCTAGGAATTTCTAGGATGGACATACGTCCCCTAGAAATTTCTGACGAAGACCCTCTTGAGGTCCGCCCAGTCGCGGATGCTGTCGGACGGAAGGAATTCGGGCCATGCTCGAACATGCTCCACCACGCAGATGGGGAGGTACTAGATGATGAAGTAGTCATCATCCACTCCTCCGGCTCGGCAGGCGAGCCAGAAGTCTTCGAGCCATATACCGGGGTTTGTCTCCCCGGTGTACCTGACGACGTTGGTGGGCGGTCGAAAGCGCTGTGGGAATGACGCTTTCTAGATGCGACGACCAAAGGCCTGTGGCCCTAGGCCATCTGGGCTGGGGCTCTGGTCGTTTGGTTGGCCGCCAACCGCTGTGGTGAGTGGACAGAGTGATTCGACTGGTGCGGCCCCAATCCCCCGGCTGGCAAAGAGGTTGTGTGCCGGTATCATGATGCGGAGCTTTCTGCCTACTGAATGGTGGCGGTCTCCACTAGCGCTCAGAGGTTCTGGTGGATCACCTGATCCTGCGGGTCCATAGGCTCGGGGAGAACGCGTAGAAGCATCGCTGCAGCAGCGATGTTCTGGCTAGCCCGAGCAAACTGAGGGGGTCATCCCCTCCATCCAGGATGTTACGCTGGACCTGATGGGCACGACCCTAAGCGTCGTTCGCTGGGTTACGTGCGTGTGGCGGCTGGCTCTGCCGCCTTTATCATAACTCCTCGCCGTGCTCCTGCGCATGCGCCAGGGTCTGCACATGGGGGTCTGGAGGGGTGTGAGTCTGTAGAGACTCCACTACCTCCGGTGGCTGTCCTGGGGTGTCCGCCATATCGCCCTCCTGGGACTAAGGGTGGCCAGGTGCCATGACGTCGCTGATGCTGGAGCCGTCGCTTTCGACCTCGTCATCGATGAGGTCGTGGAAGGAGGCGGGAGTGTAGTCTGCCATCCTCACGAACTCGGACGTGAGAGGGGCGGCGTCAGCATCCTTCGAAGCCCCCGTGCGCACGCGTCCATGGGGGACGTGAAGCCATAGGGGGACCGGTTGCACGGCTATCGTGATGGGGACAACGGGGTCCCTCCAAAGAGTTGGCAGAAGGTGTTAAATAGTGAGTAAAGAACAATATGTACATCTCTCACCGTGAGGTTTGAGCCCAGCATGGGCTCGAGGCGAAGCGCGGGTGTCTCGATGTTGAGGTCATCGAGTGGCCCGGGGCCAGTGGAGGGCGCTCCAAGTCTAGTGGATGCTAGGATGAGTGCCTCCTCATGGAGGCGGAGTACGCCGAGCTGGTCGGCGACGAAGTCCGGACTCCTGAAGAGGAAGGTCTGGAGTGGCACGATGACGGGAGGAGCCCATATCCTAGCAAGTGGGAGCATGGGAAACTTCAGCGAGCCGAAGCGAATCATATCGCTCGAGCCCGCCATGCTAAAGATGGTGGAAAGGTGGGCCATCCGATAACCAAAAGCGTGAATGCACGACGTCTCTTCTCCACGGACGATGCCAACTGTCTCCGCGAAATGTGGCCAACAAGTAAATATTTGTAGTTTTGCCGTGCGTTGTGATCGGATGTGGTCTAGCACACGATGACACAGGATTTATACTGGTTTAGGCAACGTGCCCTACATCCAGTTTCAGTCGGTCGGTGACTTTATTCCTGAGCCCAGGTGCTCAAAGTTTGCTGTGGGTTTACAAACGAGTAAGGAATGAGAAGGGGGTGTTAGAGGACCAGTCGGACTCTGATCCAAATAGAAGAGAATGACGGATGCTCAAACGTGCGCTAAGTATTGGAGCGTATGCTCTGTGTGTCCGAGCTTATCAGCTATTGAGAGCATGTAGACTGTGTAGCTGTCGAGCTCTAGAGCCGTCGAGCTATCGAGCTATTGAGCCGTTTTTTAGCCGTCCTTCCTTTTAGGAGAGAGTGCATCCCCTTTTATAGATGAAGGGATGGCCTTACAAGTCAAAGACGGAAAGGGAGAGAATATGTACGTGTGCTACCTAGTTTTGTTGCCCACACCGTCGGGTACGGCACGCCATCGCCCACCTTACTGTTCATAACCTGCTGTATATGACAGGCTGCACAGTGTTCGCCCACCTTACTGTTCATGACCTGGCAGGCTACACAGTGTTCGCCAGGGACGGCAAACGACGGCGCCTATAATATTGTTTATGTCCTAACGTGTCTGGAAGGTGTCCGTCTGACATGGCCTGGCGGCACCGTCCTGCAGGTGTGCAGGGCATGGCAGGGCACGGTCCTCGGTATTGTGGTTGACTTGAGCGCCTTACCTTATTTGCTCCGCCTGCTCCCTGGGCCCACACCGAGCAGGTGTCCTGGTCGGTCATTCCCAGTCGGCCCCGACCGTGTCGGTCGGGAAAGAGAGGCGAGCAAAGGTCCGACATATCCCTGGTCGGAGGAACGGGGTCGAAGTCGGACTGCAGTCCCACCTCGGCCAGGCCTTCCGGTGGGGGCTCCAACCAAGTCTCGTGGCCGGAGGTGCCAGTCGGGGACCGGATCGTGGTCTCGACTTGTTATTGTGTATCTGGGCCAGCCCAGACGCTCGTTGTCGCTGCGCCGCCTGTTGGACCAAGTATTGTAGGGAAGCGGGTCCATTGGGGACCCCGGGTTTATGAACCCGACACAAAGACAACATGCACATTGGAACCGGTAATGAGCTCATCGGTGGATGGCTCGGTTGTGGGCTCTACATGGGTGGTGATGCTTTTTTATTTGCAAATACAGGCACTGTAGCCTGCCTATGCCATCTCTGGTTAGTAGGGACCATACCATAGAGGCGGACACAGGTGTCGCCTCTGATGATTTTACACTAGTGAGAGTTACTCAGAATTTATTTGTTTAAGTTCTTATTATTTTATTGCCCATGTAATGAAACATAAGAACATAAAACAATTAAGAACTAAAATATCTTTGAACATAGCACCAACAAATGGATAACACTTTTGGTATTAGATTCATATTTTTCTTATTTAAAGTAAGATATTTTTGTTTTTTCTATGAAATTAAAATTTTATTATATTTAGAAAATTGGAAATAATCTTTGAAACCAATTAGAGGACCAAATTTGTCCACTTTGAACTAATGGAGGACGCTTGGTACCTAGTAATTTCATAATTTAGGGTGAAAATAAGACTGTCGTGCAAGCTGAAAGTTGAAAATAAGTTTTTTTTACCTAAAGAATATTCACACCTTGAATTGGCCATGGACTAGATGGTGGAAAACTCTAAGAAGTGCACACCCCTTTTCTTTTGATTCTCTAGAAGATAATTTAATGTCTTACACCATGTGTCTTGCTATACCTTTTTTTTTCTCTGTTTTATGTTTCTAGATGTGTACTGTGTTGGTTTTCAAAATATTTTCTTTGTTTTATCCTTGTGGCAATGCAATGGGACGCCTAGGTGTTTAAGATGGTGTTAGGATTCCTCCCATGGCATCCACTACTATACTCATTTTGTCAACTAATCTTGACACTTTTTTTTTTCTTTCATTATAGGCAAGAGTTTGGTACTTGGTTGGCAAACCACAACTGTATTTGGCTACACTTTTTTTACGGAAATTGTTCATTATGTACCTATCAAAAACAATTCCTTATATAGAGAAAAACATGGTGTGGAGGCAGATGATGCGAAGGTGAAGAGCGTAAGAAGAGGACCGGCACAGAGGCCACCGGGCGACGACGACGCGCCATGCATGCGACGGAAACGCCACTCGCCCGCTTGTTAAGCAACGCAGCTCATGGAGGCCCCACATGTCATCCTCACGTCTGACCACCCCCGACGCGCCGGGATCACCCCATGTTCCCGGGATTACGCGTCCCGTCACTTGTGTGTGCAAAAAAAAAAAACGAGCAAAACCTAATTAGCCATTAACCCCACCACGTCCAAACTTTTTTCTCTAATCATCAAACTACTCGACCGCGCGCGCGCCAGGCGACTCCCATCTGCTACCCCTGCATGCGGGACCGATCCATGGCCGGGGGCGGTGCCCGTGGCTCGCGCGCAGGCGGCGCGAAGCGCGGCGCCGCGTCGTCCTCGGCGTCGTCGGCCGCCGCCGCGTCCGCCTGCGTCTACTACGCCACCACGGCGCTGCTCGTCGCGCTGTGCGTCGCGGGGGCCTACTTCCTCACGTCCACCTCCTCCGCCGCCGCGGCCGCCGACGGGGACGCCGCCACGGTCACCGCGTACCGCCACACCACGCGCTCCTCGTTCGCGTACGAGGTCACCAGGGAGCGGGCCGCACCGGCGCCGCCGCGCGGGGTGGAGGCCCGAGACACGCCCGCCGCGGCGAAGGCCGTTGGGGCCGAGGAGGAGCCGCGGCCCGACGACCGGAGCGCCGTCGCTGCGGTGGCAGCGCTGGACGACCCGCACGCCAGGCCTGACGAGGAACGTGTGTTGGACGAGGCGGCGGGTGTGGAGGAGGAGCACAGGGTCTCCGCGGCGGGCGTGGAGGATGTGAAGGGCAAGGACGGTGGCCACGTGGCCGCCGGAGACGACGAGGCCGCCAGCGCTCGCGGCGGGGAGGAGGAGGAGGAGAAGGAGCGAGAAGCAGCCGTGCTGGAAGAGAGCAGCCGCGAGCAACGAGAACAGGAGCAGGAGCCGCAGCTGGAGATGCCACACGAGCGGGCCCGGGCCGCCGCCGCTGCCGTCGAGGAGAAGAACCTGGACGGCGGCATCGAGGAGGAGAGCAACGCGGGGCAGAGGCAGCGAGAGGAGGAGCAGAGCGCGCTCGAGGAGCAGCAGGCCGCTGCCGGGAACCAGCTGCGCCGGGAAGCGCAGGAGGACCCGCAGGCCGACGGCGGCGACGAAGGGACGGAGGAGGAACAACGCGGCAGGGAGCAGCCGCAGGGCGAAGAGGAGACGCTCTCGTCGTCGGTATCGGGGTCCAGAGGAGATGCCGACGGCGTCGATGGCGACAAGCCGGCCGTGTCGGAGTCGGAGCACCCCAGGGGCGTGGACGGAAATGCCAGTCAGGACGATGGCCTCAGCGTCGAGGACTCGCTCGTCGCCGAAGACCGCGCCGAGGAGCAGAAGGCGTGGGCGACGCAGGCCGACGAGTCACACCGGGAGACGGACCGCCGCGAGGAGGGCGGCGAGAACGACGGCAACGGCACGGAGAACGGCGGCGGCGAGGAGCACGAGTGGCGGGTGTGCAACGTGAAGGCCGGCGCCGACTACATCCCGTGCCTGGACAACGAGAAGGCCATCAAGAAGCTGCGGCCGGAGAACTTCCGGCGGTACGAGCACCGGGAGCGGCACTGCCCCGACGAGGGCCCGACTTGCCTCGTCGCGCTCCCCAGCGGCTACCGCCGCCCCATCGAGTGGCCCAAGAGCCGAGACAGGGTACGTCCGTCCGTGTCTCTAGATCCCCATGCGGCAATGCATTGCTGACTCGTGGCCGTTCGTCGTGCCGGCGGCGACGTACGTGCAGGTATGGTACAGCAATGTCCCGCACACGAAGCTGGTGGAGGTGAAGGGCCACCAGAACTGGGTGAAGGTGAGCGGGCAGTACCTGACCTTCCCCGGCGGTGGCACGCAGTTCATCCATGGCGCGCTGCACTACATCGACTTCCTGCAGCAGGTACCATGCACCACCAATGGCCAATGGACAGGCCATGGTTTGTCTGTTTCGATCGCTCCGGTAGAAATTGTATGTAGGGTAAGGAGGTTACTCTGCATTGTTTGGCCAGTCCGTCCGCGCCATCGCGTGGGGGAAGCACACGCGGGTGGTGCTCGACGTCGGCTGCGGCGTGGCCAGCTTCGGCGGCTACCTGTTCGAGCGCGACGTGGTGACCATGTCGTTCGCGCCCAAGGACGAGCACGAGGCGCAGGTGCAGATGGCGCTCGAGCGCGGGATCCCGGCCATCTCCGCCGTCATGGGCTCCAAGCGCCTGCCTTTCCCCAGCAAGTCGTTCGACCTCGTCCACTGCGCGCGCTGCCGCGTCCCCTGGCACGCCGACGGTGCGCCGCGTCGCCGCCCCCATTCCACTGTGCGTCCTCCGAGATCCCTTGCTGACGATGCCGAGATTGCCGTGTCCCCGTGCAGGTGGCGCTCTCCTCCTCGAGCTGAACCGCGTCCTGCGCCCCGGCGGTTTCTTCGTCTGGTCCGCCACGCCGGTGTACCAGAAGCTGACGGAGGACGTCGAGATCTGGAAAGGCACGTAAAGTTCCGAGCATTCGCCGCCATGCCATGAACCGATCGATCAGAGCCAGCTGACAGGAAAGGTGGCTAATGGAGTTTCTGTTCACCTGCACGTACAGCAATGACGTCCCTGACGAAATCCCTGTGCTGGGAGCTGACGTCGATCAAGAAGGACCGGCTCAACGGCGTCGGGGTGGCCTTCTACCGGAAGCCGACGACGAACGAGTGCTACGAGGCCAGGAAGCGGCGGCAGCCGCCGATGTGCGCCGACGACGACGACGCGAACGCGGCGTGGTACATCCGGCTCAACTCGTGCGTGCACCGCGTGCCGACGGGCCCGCGGGAGCGCGGCGCGCGGTGGCCCGCCGAGTGGCCGCGGCGGGTGCGGACGCCGCCGTACTGGCTCAACGGCTCGCAGGCAGGGTTGTACGGGAAACCGGCGCCGGAGGACTTCACGGTGGACCACGACCACTGGCTGCGCGTCGTCGATGGGTCCTACCTCAACGGCCTGGGCATCGACTGGTCCAGGGTCAGGAACGTCATGGACATGAGAGCTGCATACGGAGGGTAATCACTGTTGCTTACCACTGGCCATGATCAGCTCTGACAATCGTGCTGACGCTATGGCTGCCTCTCTCTGTCTCAGCTTCGCGGCTGCGCTCCGGGAGAAGAAGATCTGGGTGATGAACGTGGTGAACGTCGACGCGCCCGACACGCTGCCGGTCATCTTCGAGCGCGGGCTGCTGGGCATCTACCATGACTGGTGCGAGTCCTTCAGCACCTACCCGAGAACCTATGACCTCCTGCACGCCGATCACCTCTTCTCCAAGATCAAAGAGAGGTCAGTGGGCAGCAACACTAGTCTGTCTGTCTCCTTCGCATCCTCTTTCTAGCTTGATGACGCACATGGCCGTCTTCTTCAGATGCGCGGTTCTGCCGGTGGTGGTGGAGGTGGACAGGATCGTCAGGCCGGGGGGCAGCATCATCGTGCGCGACGAGGCCAGCGTCGTCGGCGAGGTGGAGAAACTCCTGAGGTCGCTCCACTGGGACGTGCGGCTGACCTTCTCCAAGAACGACGAAGGGGTGATGTACGCCGAGAAGTCAGATTGGCGGCCGGAGATGCTCGAAGAACCGTTGTTGTAATGACCACCATTTGCTCATTTCAGATCGGCAAGCAGTAGGGTTCTTTTCTCTTCTTGCGTCCATCAGCATTGATAGTACTGTACATGGTTTTGTCACTGCTGCAGCAGTAGTATTAAGTGTGTTCATAAACACCAATAGAGAGAATTCTAGATTATATATATATATATATATATACAGCAACCGGAGAGCCTGGTGATAGTTTACAGATTCCTGCTTGTGTACTTTGCACGCCAGAGGTTCTATGTAATATATGCGCAGCAGAACATGTGTGCAAACATGTTGGCCTGCATAAATGCGGTAACAGAGCTTTGTGAAGTCTCCAAAGATAAATGCAATTGCAAATCCAAATTGTCTGAGAACGTGTAATGGTGTATTGGTGTATCAAAATTTACATGTCAGCTGTTACAACATGAGGTGAGCCGTTGTATTGTTGCTGCTCAAAAATATACTAATCGAGTAACAATCAAGAGGTTTAATTGTAGTACAACGATATCTTCCAGTCTGTACTATAACAGGTCAAAACTTGGCACATTAGGCTTCAGTTTACATCTATCAGCTACAATAATGATAGGGTGCAGATATCAAACCTGTCAGGCATTGCTAGAGGCTAGCCCATCTAATGTTGTCTCTAGTGCACTCTCCTTTCTGTAAAGTGGTACTCTTCCACCGAGCTCCTTCAGCCTCATTACCATGTCATGCAACCATTCGAAGGTGAGTTTGTTCTGCTTATTGAGTTCCTCCCTCACCTCTGGATGCACCCTAAACCAGTCCCCCAACATCTTGTGGACATGGGATCTAACCATTCTCCATGGCACAGGGTACTGCTCACACAGCTTCAAATATTCAATCACTAGATCAGTCTGGTCCAAACCGCTATCTCCATTCTCATCACCATCTTCTTTCCATTCCTTTGTCCTGAAACCAGCAAAAAGTGCTGGGTTTTCTAGAAGAGTTTCAGCTGAAAGCACGCCATCAGCACCAGTATGTTCCAGGCAGTTCTTCACATCCTCCATATGGCGAATGTTTCCATTTGCAAGAACGGGTACTCTAAGAGCATCCTTCACAGCCTTGATGGCATCCCAGTCAGCTCGACATTTCTTCCCATCTTTTTCATCTCTTGTCCGACCATGGACAGCCACAAGAGAAGCGCCAGCTTCCTCAAGCATCTTCGCATAGGCTAATGTGTCTTCCAGTCGTGGAAATACACGAATCTTAACTGAGACTGGAACATGAAGATTAGCTGCCAGATTCTGCACAAGGGATTTTACAAGGGGAAGGTTGTCCATGAGAAATGCTCCATAGTTACCCCGTCTTGCAATACGCTGTGGGCAACTGCAAGGAAATATATTAACGCAATTCAGAAGAGTATGGAACCATATTTTCAAGCAATACTACATATGGGGAAATGATATATGTTAACTAGAAATGTACCCATGGAAGATTCAACACTAGTGCTCTAAACAAGCAGTTAGCGGCAGATAAATTTGAAGCAGCAGGTTTTGAGTCGAGTGTGCAGAGAATGGCCTAGCATGGTTTCATCACGTTAGCATCACCTGTGATCTTGTGTAGCACTAATATCATGCTTGAGGCACCACTAACAAGGTTACTCAACGACTTTGTCCAGGACAAGGAAACAAATAGAAGGCTATAGGTGCCGCTATAGCCAGCTATAGCTATTTTAGGCAGTATGCCACTATTTGTACTCATGTTCAGTTTAACCGTTTAAGCCGGCTATACCTAGATCTTAGCCTTAGGAGAACCCTACCGCTAAATGCCCATAGCTGTCTATCTATTACACTGGTCCAGGGCAGATTATTTTTGTAGAGGAGTATATGATGTTTATGTCAGTAAATTATTTATGCCATTCCAGAGGTGGAGTAAATTACAATCAAGCACTAGATAAGTAAATATGAATTAAAAAATCAGTATACCAGCATAAAGAATTGCACATTACCCAAAATTGATATCAACATAGTCGCAATATGGTTCCACCATCTTTGCAGCTTGTAACAAAATGTCAGGATCATTGGCACAAAACTGAACAAAAAGTGGGTGGTCCTCCTGTATAAGGTGCAATGGACATTACATTCCGAGCAAGATAAATACAACTCATAACCAAAAACAACAAGCTCTGCAAAATAACATAAGAATAGACCAAATCATGTAACTGTCAACCGAATCATGTAACTGTCAAACGACCCTAATGTTCAAACAATCGTTACCAAGCATAAGAATTCTTTGCTTCACCGGTCCAAACATGGGCCTAATACTTCAGTAAATTCTGCCCATCCCGAACTACCACTTAAATCTGGAAGTGTATTAAAATCAAACTGCAAAACTGCCTAAACATATCTGCATCTACAGAAAAGCTATTATTCTACCAGTCTGTATTGTAATGGCAAATTAAGCATAAGGTATACCACAACATCATCCACCTTAAGTTAAAATCACACCCAGTTGCTACGGTAGCGGACCGGAAGCTCCTATGCATCAATTACCTTGCACGTGGTGAACTCCATGGACCTGTACTTCTCGTTCTCGGAGAAGATGCGTGAGTGGAGCATGGGCGTGTACGCCGCGTCAGCGCCGTAGCGGCGGCACAGCATGCGGAAGGGGAGCTCGGAGTTGTCCACCATCGGCGCCACCAGCAGCCGCGGGGACCCCAGCCGCCTCCAGTGCGCCCACGCGCGCTCCACCCGCTCCTCCGCGGACACCGGCGGCGGCGGGAGCGGCGGGGCCGGAGCGAGGTCCTCCGCTTCTGACCCCGCGGCGCTCGCGCAGAGGTCCTCGTCGGGGCCGGCGGCCGTGGCCAGGTGAGCGGCGGCCGGGGACATGGCGGCGAGGCTAGGGTTTAGGGAGGAGCGCAGGCGGCGGCGCGGGCTCGCTAGGAGAGGAGCGAGGCGGCGCAGTGGCATGCGGTTGCGGTGGCTCCTCGGATGTGGGCTGGGTTGGGTCGGGTCGGGTCGGGAATTTGTCTCGGGGGCCACGTCCGCTTAGACACTAGCTTGCTTTTTAGTGGATTTGAAAGCGGTTTTGTTTTTTTATATTTAAAAATACTATAAATATTTGATAAGTTTTTAAAATCACAGAAATTCTCTTTAAGTTTTTAAAAGTTTCAAAAAATAGAGGTATATTTGGATAAAAAATCTAAATTAAATATTTAGTTCTCATGAAAATATATCTACCCCCTTTCAAAAATTAGATTTAGCTCTATAAAATTAAAATATTTTGAAAAAATCTGTAAATTCCCAGAACATTCTAATTGATGTATAAGTGTATTTTGAAAACTTTCCACAATAAAAAATGTAATACGCAACTAGAATTAATGTGTTTAACGGTAATGTATGTGGCATCTGTGTTGGTTGCATCTCATATTTTTGTTGTGAAAAGTTTTTAAAACATACTTAAACATCAATTAAAATGTTTTAGGGATTTTTGTTATTTCTAGAGCTACATCTAATTTTGAAAGCTCCGAGATATAAAGAAGATAACTGGTTATGGCCCATCTCGGATTCGTGTTTTTTTTTTTTTTTTTGAGAATAGACAGGAGGAATAGCTTTTGAAGCGTGGCTTGATATGAAAGGTGAACTAAATTCGCCCAGGCTTCTAAAGAAAAGCGATTCCTTCTTCTTTTTTTAAGAAAGAGAGAAGAAAGACAAGTGATTCTAAAGTCCCAGACTGCACCTCACTCCGGCTTGCAGTTCCTTCCATCGAGCCATTTTTTCTGGTACACGAAAGCGAGGGCACTTTCTTTTGTGTACTCATCACCGGCGTTGGAAATGGAACCAAACCCATCTGGGCCCCGTTCACAAAGACGTTACTCCTACCTTTGGATCCTCACGGGCGGCAAGGGTCTCCTGGCAGCAAAACACAGAGCCAAACGAGGCACATCTGGACAAGAGCTATGGTGGTCGGCAGTGGGCCAATAGAAATGCCGTGGAGACGATGAGATCACGCCAGAAATGCCGTTGCCGTATCACGCCACAAACGGCAACGGCAGATCCAGGATAAAAATCCACCTATCTCGACAAGGCAGGAAACCGCCTACTGCAGACGTGTACTGCATGCTTCAGTTATGGAGTAGATCAGAATCGAATGAAGTGGATTGCTACTCCCGTGCAAGCAACAGCCTCTGCCTGACGAGCTGCACGACAAGCATATTCTCTATGCACTTCACAGTTTCACTGAAAAGCTGGAGAGTAAGAGCAGGCGCAGCACAAAACGGCCGAATCATTTCTAGTGAAAAAAACGATCTATTCAGCTACTGAGACATACTGACATCGCAACTACATCTCGGGGGTCAGAAGTATCACTAAACCAACTTGTTAATGAGGAGCCCCAGAAAAAAAACTTGAACAATAGGAATCTAAAAGAAATTACTACTGCACAACATACAGAACAATGACCAGTCGACTAACTAACTTCAGCAACCGGTCTGGTGCAGTCTTCCCATAGTCTTCTGGTGTAGGGTCTGAATGCACAAACTGCAAGGGTCCCAGGGCTCATAAGGATTTCCCAAGCTCAGAGGATGGCAGGTCCTAGACATTCATAACATCTGAGGAAACAAGGGAAAACAAAGGGAAGGAAATAAGTTAGATGGCGATGATGACAAAAGCAAAACTGCAGAAAATGCAGCTATTACATAGCAAAGTAAACTGCAATATTCTCTGATATCCAATAAGAAAAAAGAGCTTTTTGTTCAAAAATTAGGGAACAGAAAGATTGAATAGTATACTTGTTATTGTCCCACAGCACCACATGCACGCAGTAAGGCAACCTGAACCATGACTAGCGAACCATATATAGATAAACTAATGGGAGAAATCAATAGACTTTGAAGCATTCGGTTGCTTCATTTCAGAAAACAGATTTCAATTTATCCAAAGTGGAATATGCCTGTTCATCAGTAATAAACAGCAATTTTCATCATTTAGATATATACAACCCAGGGTTCACTGCATAGTCAAATACTATATGTGGATGCGTGCAGAGTTCAAGCATCTAAAAACAGCATAAATCCATTATTTTATGTTTCCAACTAAACATCGTCTTCAGTTAAAGAACAAATTTCATGCCTCTGCTATTTACAAGTGCCAAGCACATAAATGTTAACATAGCAAAAAAAAAAAAAAAAAAAAAAACATACCAGCTCTAAAAAACATAACACATTGATGAGTCCAATAAATTTCAATTTATTCACTGTGGCTCCAAAAGATGGTAATGAATCTCAGTGGATTCAGTAGAGTACACATATTACAATGTGCATTGAAATGCTACATGTAAGATTTTTAATGCAGAAGTGCGGGTCTGGCCTAAAAAGCTCATCAAACTAGCATGGGGGTTTGTGGCTAGTACATTACAATTCTGATGAGTACATTCCCATCCAACATTACTTGTTTGGAAAATAAATAGAGATCTACAATGTTGTCTCAAACATTATATACTTGCTGGTGTGGTACGACCACACCACAATAAAGTGGGGATGGTGATACCTTTTTCATCCTCTAGACTAAATAGACGTGAATATGTAAGTATGGCAAGAAGAGTGCATGCTGAGAAAGGAAAACACAAAGAAGTGGGAGTACGCACCTAATGGCATATTATTGAATCCAATATACAGCACATCATCATCACTGGGAAATGGGAATCACCTGAAGAAATGGATCACATAGATTAATGCAATGTTACCGACTGCAGTCAAGAAGAACAGCGACAGTTGCAAGTAATAACAAACAACAATAGACATGAGCATGAATTTTGCCTTGAACATATGAAGAGTTCAAGATCAGAATCGAACTCCTAGCATTAGACAGTAAGTGATCTACTAACAATTTACTTGCCAATCATAATGCTTTGCTTGATGCTCTTATAAAAGAAAATGATTTGCTCAATGCAAGAAGAATAAGAACAGGTATCTAAATAAAATAGCATTCTTACCTGTGCATTCACAGCATCCTCTCCAGTACACCAATTTCGAAAATCTGGTGTGACAGTTGAAGAAGAAGCTGCTTGTGTGTTAGCCTGAAGATTGTCAGGAAAACTTGAGGTTTGCTAGTCTTGAGAACACATATGTTCTTGTAGAACATTATCCGCGTATTTATGTGAGGTATCACTTCTGTACAGCAAACATGTCCAGGTGTCACGGATTTTCCTCCCGCTCAAGACTACCATAGAAAGAATCTAAAAAAAAGCTTACATGGATTCTAGATATTCTCCTGCATTTCTGCTGGCAGACTGCTGTGCATAATCATCTTCCAGATCAATTACAGGGATTGTTCGCCCATTGCCCATATTGTGAACTCTAGCTTGTCCATCTGCAGCCTCATCTAAAATAATTTGCCCATCCTTCAAATGGTGTATATCTCCTGCATGTTGGTCTGCATCATTATTCAGAAGTATTTGCTTGCTGCTCAGATAGTAGTTATCCAAATCATGAGCACCCAAAGGAAAAGCCATGGGATTTGGCTCCATTTGGTGATGATCATCCGCACCATGACCTAGCAGCATCTGTTCATCGTTCACATGGTGACTATCCAGAACTTGAACATTATCGACCTGATCTATAAGCATCTGCTCGTTCTCCATCTGTTGCTCATCCACATTTTGCTTTAGAAGCATTTTCTCATTGTTCATATGGCAATTATCTGAAGTACGCACAACCATACTATGATTTAGAAGTATTTCCGCATTGTTCACCAGGTGATTATCATTTGCATGCTCACCAGCCTCATTGTTCACATCATACTTCGTCAAATCATGCCCATCCTCCAGTAGGTGATTATCCTCTGCATTCTCGTCTTGAACTTGATTTTCTGAAGTATCATCCTGTGCATGTTCATCGGCCTCATTGTTCAGATCATAGTTATTCAAATCAGACTCATCCTGCAACATTTGATTGGCCCCTGCATGATCATCTTGACCTTGAATTTCTGAAGTATCATCGTTTGCTTGTTGGTTCACCAGACCAACTAAATCAGGCACAGAATCACAAAGATCATCTGCTGGATGACCGCAAGAAATCTTGGAAACCTCACAGCCCACTGGAGTTTCAATGACATTGAGATCGAAAATTTTGTACCAAGCTGGCAGCTCTTGCTCATCCCTACTGAGATCACCGACAACAGTTTCAACTTCAGTTTGTGTAGTCTCTGTTTCATATCTTAATTCAGAGTAACCATCGGTCACCATCAATTGTGGCGCTTGGTCATCTCTAAGACCACCAACACCAGTTTCGACCTCACCTTGTGGAGCCTCCGTGTCATACCTTACTTCAGAGCAATTATTATTCTCTGCCAATAGTTGCTCTTGTTCATCTCTATCAAGATTACCAACACCAGTTCCAAATTCACTCTGTGGAGCCTCCATCTCATACTTTACTTCAGAGCAACCATTATCCTCCGTCAATGGTTGCTCTTGTTCATCTCTATAAAGATCACTAACAGCAGTTTCAGCTCCATTTTGTGGAGTCTCCATCTCATACTTTACTTCAGAGCAACCATTATCCTCTGTCAATGGTTGCTCTTGTTCATCTCTATAAAGAACACCAACAGCAGTTTCAGCTCCATTTTGTGGAGCCTCCATTTCATACCTTGTTTCAGAGCAAACATTGTTCTCTGCCAATGGCTCTACCATACATGCATCCATGTGTGCAATGCCAGTTTCCATTCCCTCCTCAGTATTGCTGAGCTGGGACTGTCTATGGACAGGTTCCTCAATAGATTCAGATATATGAACATGCACATCAGACGGTTGGCTCTGGGTGTCATCCATTTCATCACCATCTTCATCATTCAAGTCACAGGCTGCAAACTCACCATCCTCGTCTTCAGAAATCTCTTCTGCAAACTCACCGTCCTCACCTTCAGACATGTCTTGAGCATGATCCAGTCCAGCAGTCTCTGAGTCCACCTGCTTA